AGCTATGCAGGCAGTATAACCATTTCCGATTAAATCCCAAATCTACTGAGATTTCTGCATAGCTAATCTTCTCAAGGCATCTCCAGCATATTTCTTCTATACCCTGAGAACATTTTGCATAATAAATGCGGGATAGGTGAAAATGAGATCAGTAGCTAATTAACAGGAAGATCTTTACCCTCATTTTGACCCCTTTGTTAAAGAGGCTTTCTATTCAAGGAAAAAGAGGTGGCTCCTCAGCTGTGGAACCACATGCATGTACACACATATGTGTTTACTCCCATATCACACTCTTGCCAGGACAACCTAGAAAAATTAATCACATGGCTCCTCTGAAAAGGTCCTCCTAGTGTCTTTATTAAGAAAGATTAAGCTGTCTAAGAAAACAGAAAAAGTTGTAGCTGGTACTGAAAAGATTATAACGTTGCTAAGTACAGTTAATGGCATGGTTTCAATAAGTAAATAAATAAATATGTCAATATTTCTCTGGAAAAAAATTACTTCTTTCAGGACCTGTGCTTGTCCTAGATAATTGCAGTGGGAAATGTCCACATTCAGTAGCTGCAGCTGCTATTTGAAGGACAGAAACTATCTCAGAGCTTGGTATTTTTCTGTGGTGTAGCTAATGGCCTGATGCATGCAAGGTGCCAGCTTACAACGTGTTTGGTATGGTTTGGTTTGCCTTCCTGTGTTGTGTGAACCTAGCCATTGTGGTGTATAAACCAAAATTAGCGTACTCTGTGAATCTAGCCAGTTGTTGTTTGTTCAACCAGCTATATTAAATATGTAGTGTGAGGTGTGATCTGGTTCAATGAAAGTTTGGTAGGAAGTCAATTGAAGAAAAACATTTCACAGAATATTTCAAAGTAAGTGTTCATAAGACCAGACAACCCATATTGTACTAGTCTTCTCCGGTTTAGCACTCTTCAGATGTGTCTGGGATTAGGGTCATACTGTAAATCATAACTATTTGTATGGGAAAAAAATCAGACTAGCAGTCTTCTTTCCAACAAACACTTTCTTATAAAGTAGAGTTGGATCATTTGTTGTCCGATCCTATCAGAATCCTTTCCTTTCTGAAATGGCTTCCCAGAATGTTAATGATTAGAGTATCTCAAGGCAAGTTTTTTTTCCTCCCAGCAGGAATACATTCACTTTGTGAAAACTTCTGTGCTCATTACAAGGTATTTGGCATTCATTACATTCTCACTAACCTACCATTTTAATCCTCTGATTGCAAATGTTTGTTTGCAGCTTTGTCAGACTGGCTCCAGGTTTCCCTTTCACATGATCTTGGATGATGATAAGTTTGTTCTATTGCTAATAAACTTGGAGTCAAGAAAGAATTGCCTTCCAGAAGGCAAGGAAGGACCCTTGAGCCAGTGTGACTTAGTCTCATGCAATGATATGAAATTAGTCTACTAAATTAGTTCGTATAACTTTTTCCTGTCCAGGGCTGTATGTGGCCAATGAACAGCAAGCCAGAGGCTGCACTCCTAATAGGTAGGTTGAGAACAAAATGAAATTTGATTGCATCCATGCTTAAACTGGAGTTATGAATACTCCCCATGAATTAATAATTTTCCTTTCTATCATATTAAAATATATAATTTGGTACCAACTTTGGGAGGTCTTGAAAGTTGTACCCAAGGCTTTCAAGCATATAGGTACCTGGACTTCTAGTTGTACATCTCTAGTTAAATGTTTTTTGGCTACCCTGGAATAAGCCACTGGATGCCCAGTTACCTCATGTAAGAAATGGTAATATCTAAGCACTCCTGTGCAATTTTTCTAGAAAGCCCCTTTCACAGCATGTTTAAATGCTTATGCTGTGTCACATTTATGGCACATTTTCTGTCAACGGCGTTCAATCAGGTTACTTTGCAATAAATTGTGTCAGAAAGTCTAAACTGTTAGACCTGCCCTTGGAGTTCAAATCCTAAATGTCATTACACAAGTGCTGACCTTTGAGAAATGATTCTCAGACACATTTGTTATCTGTAGAGTGGGAATAATAGTAATGTGCTTCCCATATTCATGTCTGATAGTCTGATGGTGCAGCTCCAGGGCGAGGAATGATGGTCTTTGCTTGCCCAGTCATTTTATGCATTCTTCACTTGTACTGCCTCAGTATGGGAACAAGATCCTTGAACAGATAAGCGACGACATAGATGTCCTTGATTCTTGCACTTCATGGTTTACAAAAGTGATTGAGTAACATTAGTAACATTTTTGAAAAAATAAAAAGTGTGTTTCCATTGTTCCTAAAAAAAAGGAAGAAAGAGACTTTTGGTGCTAAGGAAATGCTTGACAAACCCCAGCACATTGCATCTTTTCCTACATATTTCCAATATTTCTTTTTCAGATAAGATGTGGGGTGTATCTACTCCAGAGGTTTCTGCAAGAGGTAGCTTGTCTAGATCCATTTCAGTTTTGCTTCAGGCATGTTAACGAGTTGGAGTGTGTTATGCCATACTGATAAATAATCTTATCTATTCCAGGAGCTGGACAGGAATAGTATGTAACTGATGATTTGGCTAGATTTCTTTTAATATACTTGACCATGGTACCATTCTGGAGCACATAGCTAGAATTTCAAGCAATTTGAAGCACAGAATCATAGCGTCACCCAGTAATTTCAGATAGTAGTTCTGAAAGATTCCTTCAGTGCCTTTTCAGTGGTTTATGGATTCCAGGATTCAGTTTTATATCCCATGCTATTCAAATAATCATGACATTGTTGGAAGAAGGTGTTTTGGAGTTTGGTGCCATAATTATGCAGATGACTCCTGGCTTCTTCTCTCTTTCCCATCTAATCAAGAAATGTATTCAAATTCTAAATCAGTTATCTGATGTTGATAATTAATTGGATGACATCAAACACAATCATATCAAATGCTTCATTCAGAGAATGTATTAGTGTTCCTCATCAGTTGAAAAGTGGATCAGGGAACAAGGTTTCACTTTATCTAACTAATGAACTAATTAATTATAATGGACTGGGCTAAATTTTCCATGAGGACACACATTTTCAGCTTTCCTAGATTTAGCTCTTAAACTAGATGTTCAGGTTTTGGTGGTAGTAGGATTGCATTTCCTCAACTAAGTCACATGTATTCAATGTGTCAAATCCTGGAAATATCAGATCTTTATAACACATGCCTTGAGGATGTTCCTTTGGACCAGTCTAGTGCCCTCTTCAAGGAGCTTCATTTAAAAAGTGTTGAGAAATTTCATCAAGTCCAAATCCCTACTGGCCATGGCTAGTTGTAGCGAAGCACTTTATTTCCTTTGATATTCACAGGCTAGTAGACATGTTTCTAGGTACAATTAAAATGCTGGTCATGATCTGTAAAACTGTATACAGTTGAGATACAAGCTCCCTGAATGTTTACTTTGTCTACATGAAACTTCCCACCTTGATTTTAAGATACCTGAGGAGTCCCTTCTCTGTTCTCCCAAAAAGCACATTTGCTTGTAGAATCAGGAATTAGATAAGTAAGAAAAGGAAATATTGTCTATTATCAGTAAATTAAAAATGAATCAGAAAGTGGACTTAAAAGGAAAAACAGTCTTAAGAATTAGAGGTGAAATTTGTTGTGGTCATATTGGGATAAATCAATAGCAAACTAACAAATCGAACATTGAAATGCCCAGTCAAAAAAGGGGCTTTATCTTGCAAAATGCTGACCCAGAAAAGTAAATTATCCCTAATTTTCATGTAAATAGGCCTTGTAGAATACTAATGCTGCACCTCCATGCCCATTTACTTGGGAATAATGGTAAAACCCTGTGAATTTAGGGATACATATGTTTGAGTAAATTTGTAAGCCCAGAAGGGAGAATTTTTGACAAGAACCAAGCTTGCTTTTTATGTGCTGGAGAAAGTCCATGGACTGTTATAGTCCTTCCGCCTGAATTTTGTGTAAGCCAGTTTAACTTCCGATTTATAAGCATGGATCTCTGTCCTGCCCACCAGAATAGCATATAGTCGTTCAAGTTAATGAATGGAGCTACTTTTGTGCAGTGATGACAACTACCAACTTTTCCTGGCTGGGATCCTGTTTCTTAATCTGTTGCATGATGAAAGTAAAATGAGAGTTATAACACTAGTGCTTTATACTTTTAAATACTTTAAAATATTCTAAGATGGCCATCCCCAGTTTAGTGTCCTGCAGGTATAATAAATGTTATCTTGTATAATTTCAGCTAGCATGGCTATGCTGATTAGGAATTAGAGTCCAACACCCCTGGGAGGGCAACAGATTGAGGGAGGCTATTGCAGTGCACAAATGCCGCTGCCCTCCCCTTCTAGCATAGCTGAAATCTTCTGAAAGCTCTGTCCTCGAAGAAACCCACTCTGGGTTTGTTCTACCATGAGCACTGGGATTTCACTGGAAGGAGCAATTTAATCATCAAAGATAATTAGCCTTTCTCCAAATGATCCCCTGATCTCTGGGGAGTGACAGAAGACCAGAAGAAGGAAAGGTGTTGTTTGTTTGTTTGTTTTTCAAAGGAGAAAGAAAGGACACCTCTCTTAAAGTCAAGGAGCTGCTTTAAGAGCATTAAAAAGTTCTCTATTGTTAGGCAAGTTTCCGAGAATGGACAGCAAAGGACCCCCCCTTGCCTTTTGAAGTGCAGCATCATCAGGCGGCTCCTTCTGCTATCTTGTCATTGGGTAGCAAATGAATGGGGGGCGGGGGGCAGTTGGCCCTTTAGGCATCCCCCTTATAAATAAGAAAGATTGAGGCTGCTGTAACTTCCCTTCTTGAATCTGATGAAGGGGGCTGGCTGGTCTATGAGAGCTTTTTATTCCATAATTAGGCTTTTAAGTAATTAAAGTGCCTTTGTGTTTTTTTCCACCCTCATTCTATTGGGCTGGGGGGTTTTGTGGGTTTTTTGGTATAATAAAAGGAGGAGTGGAGTCTAGCTCTTTCTCTTATCTAGCAAATCCTTTGAGAGGGGTGTGAGGTGAGGACAATTTAGTAGGTCAGCTAGTGGAATAGAGATTCACCATGAGAAGAGGGACCTGTGTCATCCTTGCCACTCTCGGGCTATACAGTGCTATTGCTATTTTCAACATATCATCAGCATGGTAGGCATTCAAGGCTCACTGGCACTTAGGGTTCTTCTTGGTGTGGGTGTGAATGTTTGGTTTTAAGGGACAGTCTTAAAATGCTATTCAGAAAAGATTTTCATAACTTTTTTTTCTCTTCCTACAGGTCAGTTAATAACTTTCTGATGACAGGGGCCAAGGTAATTATTCTCCCCTCAATATTTTAAACTTAAACAATTTATGACAATTTATTTTAATAAGTAACATATTACTTGTTTATGATAAGTAACCTTTATTAATATTGTGACTCTCTGTGCAGAATACAGAGAAACTGGATATAAATGGCTGTTTCAAGGATGTTTGGGAGGGTTGAGAAACACTGAAAAAATAATATATGCATTTGTTTGGTCTATGAAAGGCGTATTTGACATATTCTACAAGCGTGTCTGCTGGTGCCCAGACTGGAATTGAGGAATGTAAGCATCAGTTTATCTGGGAACGCTGGAATTGTCCCGAGAGTGCACTTCAGCTTTCCACTCACAACAAACTTAGAAGTGGTAAGTGGATTTTAACACATCCCTTCCTTTTGATAGGTCCACATGAGTTGTGGTGCTTAGCAGTTTACAATGAGAAAGCATGCAAAGGTTACACACAACTGTTAGCTAGAGCATAGCTTGCATCAAGGATTCACCAAGGTTTCAATTTCCTGTGGCAGGGCTTGATCCTAGGATATGTGAAGAAATATATAATAGGAAAATGTTCCTGATCAGTTCAGAATGCATTTCTGTTTTACTTTGCTGTTATTATTTATCACATGTACATCTGCCCTTTTTCTAAGGGTGGCATAGAGAATTCTTTTTGACCTGTAATCCTTACAACAAATCAAAGAGGTAAATTATGCTGAAAGAAAGTGGATGGTCAAAGTTACCCATTGTGCTTTATAGTATGAAGATTTGAACCGGGATCTCCCCAGAATCAATCTAATACCCAATCTCTACTGCATGCACACACTGAGTTGGTTCTTCAAGAACACTTTTTCTGGTCAGGACTGAGTTCTGCCTTTTTCTCCTAGAAATCAGCTGCTATGTTCATCCCTTTTAGGACAATGACTTTATTATATCAGATCAAAAATAGTATGCAAGCTTTTGAATCTCTTATTTTGCCTAAGGTCAGAGAGGTGAGCTAATATAGTATATGGATTTTTTTTCTTATGGTCAGGACTATTATATTTTAAGCCAAGCAGTAATTATTTATTTTAAAAATGTAGCTTGTTGTTTTTTTAAAAAAAACATTTGAAAAAGTGCCATTCAGAATTCAAACTGAAAGCTGAACAATGATCTCTAGGATGGCCATAAATAAATATGGAACTCAGAGCATAATCCTATGCACCTCTCCTGAGAAGCTAGTCCTACTGAATTCAATATGGGATACTTCCAGATACATGGGTACAAGAGTACAGCTTCAACAATAATAAAATTTATGTTGGCATAGGATGTCCTCCTTCCCCAAAACTCGTTTAAATAAGGGGATGCCAACATTATTAGATTTGGCACTAAGGCAAGAGAGTACAGTTGTATCAGCCATATATCTACTTTGGAGATATTTATGTGTATCTTTTGAATTAAGTTTTGTGTAGAAAATGAAAACTGATCAGTTGCTTATCACTAATCAGCATATATCAGTACGCCTGATTTATGAACAGACTTAGAGGTCAGAGAAATGTAGATGGACTAACCAGCCAATCCTCACTGCTTTAAATTAGCTCAAGGATGAACAGACATCTTACAAATGAAAAAAAACCACTTTCATTCCATGGTGCATTTGGGTATCAAATGAGGATGTTTTCACCAAGAACACTGTTTGATTTGTTGGTCACATGATAAATATCTAGAAAAGTTTAATACCTTGAAACTAAACTAAAAACAATGACTAGAAAACAAAACATATTTTATAGTAGAAATGCATTGATTATGTCCCCAAACTTAGTATTTATTTTCTCTCCCTCCAATTCCTTATGATGCTGTACAAATTTGCAAAAAGAGGATTTAAAAAAAAAAAGCTTTCCTGTTGTAATTCCTCTCTCTCTCTTGATACATTTCCTTATCCAGAATCCCAGTAGTGAGATGTGGGGGTGGGAGGGGGTATAAATTGTTTAAATCAATCAATAACAACTTTGCAGAGCTTGGGAATGAATTGGCTTATACACATTCATTGCTCTGAGATGAGGCAGTTTAATGAGGAAAAAAGTATAGAAAAGATTTATTTTGTTTTTATTTTGACCAGGAGAAGGGAAGATTAGACTATAAGAAAGTGAGGGTTTGCTCCTGATACTGACAGCATTTCCTTCCTTCTAGCTACAAGGGAGACTTCATTTATTCATGCCATCAGCTCAGCTGGAGTAATGTACATCCTAACCAGGAACTGTAGCATGGGGGACTTTGAGAATTGTGGCTGTGACAGTTCAAGAAGTGGACATGTAGGTGAGCCTGGGTGTTTTCGAAAGGGACATGTTGAAGAAAGTCTGGTGTTGTTCTCCTCAGTTAAGCTGGTCTTCATACTTTTGAAGAGCAGAACTGAATGGTCCATGTATTGTACTCTTTATTTCTGGATGCAAGTTAGGCTAGGGTATCAATTAACCTCATAAATTGTACAGATTCTGAACAAACCCAAGCAGCACAACTGAAAAATGTTTTATTTCTCCCAGCACCACCATCACCACATACATGCTTCTCTACTAATCCAAAACTGGGTTCATCCTCCCTATATTTTTGGTGAATTTCCTAAGACCCACCTCTGTTCTATGATTCAACCCACAAGTGTTTGGAACTAATACATTTTTTTCCCCCAGGTGGAAGAGGATGGGTTTGGGGAGGATGTAGTGACAACGTGGAATTTGGTGAAAGAATTTCCAAACTCTTTGTGGATGCTGTGGAGACAGCACAAGATGCCAGAGCTTTAATGAATTTGCATAATAATGAGGCAGGGAGACTGGTAAGTCTTACTTTGAAAAATATTTCTTTTGGAATTGGGTATGTGCAAACAAATGTTACAGAACTGTGCCTTCAGGCTGTGTTTTCCTAATTTGACTATCTCCCTGATTTCATGAGCTTGAGTGTGTTAGTAAGGATTGCTCAACTTGAATAACTGTAGTGCTACCTTATCTGGCCCTACAGGGAACTTCATGATTCAATAAACTACTTTTTTTTCAAAAATAGAAAATGTAGTTATTGTCAGTAGACAACAGTTCATAGATTGCTTTAAAACCAGTGATCATATTGTTTGATTTTTAAAAATGTATTATTAAGTCCATTTTGATTTGATAAACATAAACTTGGCTGTCACTTAGCCATGGGAAAAATGTAGAATTCAAGTTCCATTACAGTGAGAGATTTGGACAAGTTCCATCATGTCTGCTGTTGACTCATTTTCCTAAAAAGAATTTAGAAGATTGCTTGTCAGGCATATTGATAACCCACAATGTGGGAACTAAGCCATGAAAGCCTGGTTTGCAAAGAATCCTTATCCATAATAGCTTGTATTTACACATCAAGCTAAGGAAAGGCAAACAAACCGATTTTAGCTTAAAGTTATTTTAAGAACTGGTGCATTACTGTTTATTTATAATACGTTAAACAACTGGCTGTGTATATTAATATTAAAAATATTGAGCACATTTTTCTGCAGTGTGTGATAAACATGGATCTAATTTTCCCCAATCTGCTGTCCTCCATACGTGATATCCATGCTACTTAGGGATAATAGTAACTAGAATCCAACATGTAGAGGACAATAGACTGAAGGAGCCTTCTAAGATACGGGCAGTAACTATATGCTATACATACCTAGCCAATATGTTTGCCACTTTGGGATTTAATTCAACCTGAAATTATGATATACTGGTGTAGGCTTTTTTTTTTCACTGCCCAACCAGAAATTCTTTGCATATTTATATAGAGGTAAATCCAACCAACAGCATTTATTTTTAATAACATATGTTGCTTGCTTCCATTAATAACAAGTTCACATAGCATGGGAATTTAGCTGCGGGGAGGTTTGGGAGTGGGGTGGGGGGGTGTAGTGGGGAAGCTAAATGATAGCCTGATGCTACTACCAGTGCATTTAGAGTAACAGCAGGTTGTTCCAAGTTCACATCTTTACTTAACCATGAATCCCTCTGTCATATTATCAAATTCCTCATATTATCACTCTTAGAAAGTTGGGAGAAATCATGTACAACTTGGTTTCTATAAGCATTGTGGATTCACTCGGAAGCATCCCCATCTGTAGAAAACAGGGCTGTCCTAGGATCCATCTACTAGATTAGATTCAAACTGGACTATCATATAGCATTCTCTGCACTCTCTGCTCCAAAGGTTGTCCAGAGCTATTATTGAAGGACATGCATCCATATACATCTATTTGGGCATTAAGATTAATCTTTAAGGCCTGGCTTTCTAGTCTGCTGGTAAGAACTATCAGGCTGGCAGACAGAGAGATGAGGTCTTCTTGGTGATGGCCTTGCTCTGAAATAACTTCTTTCTGTGTTTTCATGTTGTTTGTAGCTGCTTTTACTGATTCTATAAACCAGGCCCTGATGTTTAACACTGAATGTTTAAAATGTTTTAGAAAATATGATTTTTGATTACTTCTACTGATTTTGTATGGTTTTGTATGTATTTTGTATGTCTGTATTTTGTATGTTTCAATAGTATTATAAATGAATGATAAATCATAATAAATGTACATTCCTCCAAACTCTCTGGAAGAAAGTTTGGAAAACATTTATTCTTCCAGTTTTGCTTCTTTTAGTCCTATAAACAGTACAAACCACCAACTTAGTGCTGAACAGGAACACATTTTGAAAAATGATTCGGAGGATGTGGTGCAGACCTGATGCGAGCTTAGCACCACTCCACTATACTTTAAAATTCACTTAAAAAATAACTTTTACTCAGGCTTCTATACGAATGTGGAGAAAAGGGATCCCTGCCTTAAGAGTCAGTTTAATGGATTCCTTAAAGTAGCAATATCCCCCTCCCCTCCAGCTTGCACAGAAGCCCAAGAAAATTCAGGCACCTCTAACAGAGAGCTGATAGGGGATGTGCTTGTTCAAGGTCTGAAGCACTTTTCCTGAACCATTTTGACAGCATGCCCAGCCCTCCTGAGCAGGGATATGGAAGTGGACCCCACACGTTCAGATGTAACAAGACCCAACTAGTTCATGGGTGTAAAAGGTCCAGCCTGGGGGCTGTGTGTAGTCGGCCTGTCTCCTTTTTGATTCCTAGAATGGGAAGAACTTAAAAAAAAAGGGGGGGGGGACTTTTCTTTTTTGTAGTTTTTAGAATTGGGGGCAGGGGGAGAGAGTAGGGAAACAATAGGTGTTGTTAGCCTTGTAGATGCTTAAGGCACTAATTTTCCCCTTTAAAGCTCCTGAACCCCTCTTTCAAAATAGCATTGCCCCCAACGACTTTTGGAGTGCAGGCTACAATACCCCATACAGTGCTGTAAGTCTCAGCCTGACAGAAGTTGCAGGCCACTGTAGAGTTAAACCAGATACGTTGCTAGAACAGGAAAAGGTAAATTGATACCTTCCACCAACTCCAAGTAACCAACAATGATGATGATTTGCAGTTAGGAGAGCTGTAGCCCAAAATGTCTGGAGACATCAAGTAGTAGATGCTTGTGCTCAGTGGTAACTATTTCAAACCTTTTGAATCTTTAATTAATAGATTGGATATTTAAATAAAGTCAGTCTTTTCCAAGCTGGTGTCCTTCAGATGTATTAGGATGAAACTCCCAGTCATTATGTCCTCTACTGACTATGCATACTCTCAACACAACCTAGTTGGAAAGGCTGAGTTAAGTATCTCTTCTCGCCAGTTTCTTGTGATATTTAACAGAATTGTTTCACGTTCCTATTTCCTAGTATTCCTAACTGTTGTTACATCTCTCACGTAAGGCTGTAAAGGCAACCATGAAGCGGGCCTGCAAGTGCCATGGAGTATCAGGGAGCTGTAGCGTCCGGAGTTGCTGGCTCCAGCTTGCAGACTTTCGAGATGTTGGAAATTACCTGAAGAACAAATATAACCTTGCTCAGAAGCTGGAGGTAGACAAGAGAAAAATGAGAGCTGGCAACAGTGCGGAGAGTCATGGAGTGACAACTGAGCCCTTCAACATTATACAAGCTGCTGATCTTGTGTTTTTGGAGGACTCTCCAGATTATTGCATCACCAACACTAGCTTGGGCCACTATGGTACTGAGGGACGAGAATGTCTTCAAAGTGGCAAAAATCTCTCCCAGTGGGAGCAGCAGACTTGTAAGAGGCTGTGTGTGGAATGCGGTCTCAAAATAGAGGAGGAACGGACTGAAATTGTCACTAGCTGCAATTGCAAGTTTCATTGGTGTTGCACAGTGAAATGTCAACAGTGTAAACAAGTGATAGCTAAACATTATTGTTCCACACACGTGGGCGCTCCTTCCAATAACTCTCGGTGGCGGAACAGAGGACATGGGAGATAAATAAATCATTCTCTAACCTCTCCCTTTGGCTAACTTCTTGTGGACAGGTAGTAGCCAGAAAAGAGATCTCTGGATCATAATTGTCTTGGACTTTAATTTTTACACTGGACAAAGCTTCAGTGTTCACATTATGCTGAACTAAATTTGTATTAGGTCTGAGTATTACCACTGCACAAGCCTATCACCTTTTATATGCCTACCTCTATTCTAGAAGCCTGGTTCCCCATAGTCTACGAGTTAGGCAAATGTTCTGGCCAACATGGTATCCTTATATTATAGGGATCTGCAATTCAGGCTTACGACATGTAGATCTTTCACTTACAATGCAATGTAATATGGCCTGTAAACTTAGACTGTAGCCACTGGTGGCTTTACAGTTTCTTTCCAAAATTTAAGCAAATTTATTCCCTTGTAGCAACTCTCCTTTCACACTGAAGCACTGTCTTTTTTGGCAGGACTAGAATGCAAAAAGTCTGAAGCCCACATTCAGTGTTGTTCAAACTACATTTATAATACCTGTTTTCCATTGTTCCCCAGTAGTGGGTTCTCTCTTTTCTCAGTCCCTTATTTGCCTTTGATCTTATTGTTAAGATGACATAGCAGGGTTTCTCAATCTTGGCAGCTTTCAGATGGGTGGACTTCAACTCCCAGAATTCCCC